GAAGAGCCAGGCTGGCCGCAGGAGGAGCGCCACTATGCAACCGATATGACCAGGCAAAGCGATAGCAAGGCTTGAGCGTGGCCCTGAAGTAAAATAAACGGGAATCAATGGGCTAAAATCTGCGGATTCAATAAAGCTATTAAGTCATAGCTATTCCTTTGGCGGCAAATTAATTCCTTTGTGGCTGTATTTCCTGTTGCTCCCAGGAGTCAATACACTCCGGGCGAGAAATCTGGGAGGCCTGGATCCCAATCAAGGCTTTATCAACACTGTATCCCCACCTGGTCTGCTCCTGGGAGGCAGGTGTCTTAGCTTTTGGCCTCCTCCCACGAGGGCGTTGTTTTCTCTTCCATACCAGAAGTCAGTTGCTATCGCTCTCACCTGAAATGGGGCCAGGTCTCTCCAGGGCCCTTGCTGTGGGACCTAAATTACAAGCCCTTGCTAAATGGCAAAGGGCCTACGAGACAGTGTCCTGAACCCCTCCCATTGTGGCCACAGCCCCGACCTTTGTTCCAGCCCTGGCCTAAGAATGTGTATCACTCTTGTTTTGTTTGAAGTCCAGATCTGAATCTACCTGTAAATTCGAGGCTCCGGACATAGAGCCCCAAGTTAATTGACAAACTGTTTGCTCATCCGGAGTGTCTTGGTGACCTTTGAGACATCCTATGGGTGGTACCTGTCACTCATCAATATGTGAGTGTTGAGCATGTGACTGCTGACCACCAGCTCAAGTCAGCAGACCTTTGTCCCCTGTCTGTGAGCCCAAAAATGTTAACCCCCTCTTTTACTCCCTATAAGAGGACCTCAGCCACTGAGCTAGGCGCCTCTCTGAGCCAGCCACTTGGTTCTGAGAGTGCCGTCTGGCTAGACTAATAAAGGTCTTTTACCATCTAGCCTGGTGTGTTCCTTCCTGGGTTTCTCGTTCCTCGATAGCGCTCACGGAGCCTCATTGGGCTTTAGGGCCCAACATTGCAAAGGCCTTTTGGGCTGTTTGCGCTCCGTGGAGTGGAAGTGAGACTTTTAAGTCTTACATTGCTGCCCGCTGCCCACTTCCTGCTGAAATACATCAGGTTGCTGCGTATTGCCTGCTCCTGAAACACAGGAGCAGGGCTTTCCCTGTGATGGCTGCGACAGAAAGCATATTTAATTCCTATACTGACCCTCTGAGCTCCACATCAGTCAGGAAAAGCGAGTCTCAAATGACTTAGGACCTGTGGCCCTGCGTGCTCGGCCCTTGAACAGATGTGCTCAGGTCTCCAGACATCTCCCTGCCTCACCGCTCCCCGAGAGCTCCCGGAAATGCCCGAGTCCAGGGACCCTCTCCCAGCAGTCTCCTACCACCACCCTGATTTGGGTGACAACTGATTTCGGAGGTTATCCGACACAAAAACAGTCAACTTTCTCCCAACCATAAATTCTCATGTTGGCCAAAAGGGACCCAAGTCCTAGAACTCTTAACAGCCAAAACTGTCCTTAGGACACAGCACGGGCAGCAGAGAGGAAAGGTCGGCCAGCACAAAGGACCTGGCACCTAACTCTGTGACGAGCAGAATGCATGAGCAATACAGGAAGCCAGAGCTTTGGAACAGCCCGGTCCCAATTCCCAGCTGTTCAGCTCATGCTCGGTACCCTCTGACAGTCCTGACCCTACTGGGCTGAATCCTCATTTGTAAGCCGGAGAGGTTTCTCTGACGTGGGAGCTGAGAATGTGCGGAATAAGATGACAGAACAGTTAACTCGCAGGTCAATTCTCTTTCCCCCATTAAGTTTACTGGTACATGGAAAGCAAACCATACAGTTCCATTCATCACTGAGATCTTGGACCTTTATAGGATGCGCCTTGGTTCTTATTTTTTCCCCCACTCCCCTGCCCTCCCTTCACCCCTTTACCCTTCCCTTTCTACAAAGACTTTGTTTCCATTTTTTCCTTTTTTCACATTTTTTCTTTTCCCTTATTTCTGTTCCCCTCCCCTTCCCACTCACCTTTTAGCCATTTTTCTTATTTCACACTCTCGATTATGCCATTTAAACCTTATTTACACTTTTAGTTTTTCACACCAGAGAAACCATTCGGTACTTACTCAGGTGTGTCCCATTTATTTCACATAAGAGTATGGCCCCAATGTGCATCCGTTTAGCTATAAATGTCTCTAGTTCCGCGTTCCTTATGGCCGAGCAGTACTCCATTTTATAGAGAAACCACATCTTCTTTATCCAGTCTTTAGTTGATGGGCATTCGGGTTGTTTCCAAGTTTTAGCTATTACAACATGTGCCGCTATAAACGTGGGTGTGCCTATATCACTGTGGCGTGATTCTTTTAATCCTTTTGGGAAGATACCCCACAGAGGGATAGCTGTGTCAAATAGGACCTCCAATGCTACCTGCTTGAGGTATCTCCATATTGATTTCCACAGTGACTTCACCAGTCTAGGAAGTGAATTCTTACACTGGAGTTATCTCTATGATTTCCCAGCAGCAAACCCCACCCTGCAACAAACTACAGCTCTGCTGCCTTGGGCACGGCTGGCAGAGGCCAGACCCCGGCCCTCACAAACCTCGGGGCCCTTCGCTTGCTAGCAGTGTGTGGCCAATATACCCACTGAACCGCAGTTACTAGCAGCTAAGCAACACTGCCTGCCTCAGACATTTATCATTTAGAAAGGTCCCAGCTGTAAATTCGAGCTCACAGCTCAAGGCAGATGTAGTTACTGGCCACGAGGGGCCGCTAGGGAGCCACGGAACTTTCCAGCCTGCCCTTTGCAAAGAAGGTTGGCTTTGGTTTCTGCAAGGTTAGCCTCATTTTCTGAGCTGAGAATTTAGAGAGTCGCGTATCTGGTTGGGAGTGGGGGTGAGTAGGAGGCCTTGAGGGGCAGCACTTGCAAAATCCTGGGAGATCTCCCCCCTGGAAAGAATTTCTGCTCCATCTGAGAGCAAAATCCCTTGAAGTCTTACAAACATTTGTAGACTTGTAAAGGGCGCCGAGGACACAGATAGGCGGGAAGGCCGGGTGAGGCGCCGGGTTAGGGTCGGCACAGCCGGACAGGGATGAGCACGAGCCAGATGTGCACGTGAATTCCAGCAAGTTGCTGGGCCCTCCACGCTGCAGTGCGCCTTGAGACCTCTGATGCGTCCGTGAGACGAATGAGGCAAAATTTCACACACAGGGGAAAAACAACTTAAGTAAATTCTTTCTTTTCTTTCTTGCTGGATGAAAATAAAATTGTGGCCCTAACTCCTGGACAGAGGATTAGGAATCGAAGAAGCAGGATGGCGGGGGGGTTTAAAAGGGAGAGAAAAGTCAAAGTGCGCGTCCCCCCCCCACCGAAGCCCAAATGAAGAATGCGAAAGAGAAACCCCTCGCTCTCTATTCCACACCCCGAATTCTCCTCCTGTTGGTAGGATGCGTACTGCGGTGTGTACTTGTAAATTTAGGAATGCTAAAACTATACCTCAACTTTATATTCCAGATGCCAGAGAACTGACCGACTCGAAGCGGAATAACAGAAGCAACATAGAATTAGGAGGAAAAAAAAAAAGACGGGAGAAATAAAAACAATGTACATGGTCAAACAGTGGACCTCAGATCGTGAGAAACGCAAAGCAAGTCAGGGTCACATCTACAGAGAGTGGCTCGGGAGGGAACACAGCCGCTTTGGAAGAGGAACCGAAGAAATACAGATGTTCTGCTGGGAAAGAGGAAGGATGATCCCTATCTTGGGATTGGTTTTAGAAGGTGGAGGAAGGGTCGGCAGGTGTCCAAGAGTCCATGAATCCCCTGATAGGGTGTGTGTGTGTGTGTGTGTGTGTGTGTGTGTGTGTGTACACACATGTACATTTGTTAGAAAGAAAGGATCATAGCTTTATCAGATTTTCATGATCCACAAAACTTAAGGACTCTTGATGTAACTATAGCAGCTAGTGTGTATCAAGCAGTCACTTAGACCCAAGCAGTGAACCAACCTCCCCCCTACCCCCAGTATAAGCTACTGAACCTTCCCAATGGTCCTCTGGTGGCAGGCAGAAGGGTGAGCGTGAACACAGCTTCAGGGCCATTCTGCCCTAGTTTATATCTCAGTTGTGCTGCTAACCTGCCTCAGTTTCCTCACTGTGAAATAACAGCCCCAAAGGATAAGATAGGACACCTGCAGCTTTAATTAACAATGCTTTCGAAGTGTGAGCCATTTAGGGTTTGGTGAGAAAGGCTTAAAACTAGCTCTGATAGAAAAAAAGAAAACAGAAGCTTTAATGTATAACACTGACAGGTTCCAAGGTATATACTTCTCATTGGCCAGTGTCAAACTGTCAGTGTGAAAGCAAATAGCTCACAAAATTCCTAAAAAATTAACAATTACCTTTCATGAGAGCGGATGAGCTGGCTACAAAATAAATTCTCTTAAAATTTTCCTGCTGTTCTCTCCCCTGGTTTGAGATGGCAAGAAACATCTCCACAGTTGCTTGGAGAAGTGTAGTTTTTATGGAATTGATAGAAGAAATGTTCGTTTTCCACTAGAGGAGACAGGCTAGAGAAAGGGACTCCAGGAGAGTCTGAAAATGGAACAGAACCGGCTTGAGCCAGGAAATTTTCCTGCAAAGATCCTTCTTGGGGTAAGGAGGAAATGACCATCTACAGTGGACCCTTGCCTTAGGAATTCATTTCGTTCTTGAGGGCCGATTGCAACTCAAGTTAGTCAAATGAAGGCTCAGGGTCCTCTCCACAGCCTTCAAAGCCTCTCTCCTATTCACAGGCAGATCTCAGGGTCCTCAGAGAGACTCTGGCCCAGGATTTCTCACTGAACCCCACACAGGAAAAGACACTGTAATGTTCCTCCCAGAGCTCTTTAAGGGTTAAATCTATATCTGAGACCATCTGGAAGCACGAGCAGCTGGCATTTAGGGTATGACTCAAGACTTTGGTCATAAGTTAAAATTAAAACATCTGTCATAAACCAAGTTGTTCATAAATCAGGCTGGTTGTAACTCAAGAGTCCACTGTACTTACTTAGTGCTTTTACATGCAAGGTGCCACTTGACATTCACAGCTGTGGTGTATCTCCCAACAGCCTTGGAGGTGGGTGAAGTAGCTGGTACTCACCCCAGGGCCACGGGCATCATGAAAGCTGTTCAAGAACAAAAGGGCAAGCATGATTGTTTGAGTTCTTTATATACTCTAGATAGTAGTCCTACGTCTGAGGAAAAGCTGGCAGAAGTTTTTTCCCACACTGTGGGTCATCTCTTCACTCTGTTGGTGGTTTCTGTTGCTGTGAAAAAGCTTTCAATAAGATGAGATCTCAGTTGTCGATTCTTTGTTATATTTCCTATGCAATACGGGTTTGTTCATAGTCTTTGCCTGCCCCTATGTCTTCAAGAGTTCTACCTTTCTCTCTTGCAGCAGATTTAGAGTTTCTGTTTTAATATTTGGATCTTTGATCCATTTTGATTTTAGTTTATCGCATCGTGACAGACATGGGTCTAGTGTTAGCCTTCAGCTTGCGGGGCCAGTTTTTCCAGCACCATTTATTAAAGGGGTAGTTTTGCTTCAGTGAAGGACTTTGTCCCTTTGTTGAAGATAAGGTGGCTAAGTGTGTGTGGAGTTCTTTGTGCATCTTCTACTCCATTCCACTGATCCTCAAATCTGTTATGTGCCACTACCATGCTGTTTTATCACAGTAGCTTTGTAGTATAATTTCAAGTCAGGGATTGTGATGTCCCCTATCTTGAAGCCTCAACTTTTGCAATGTCTTCAGCAGTTCTGTGCTGGAAAACCCCTTCACAGAATGATCCTCAAGGCTGTTGCATGGTCAGAAGGCTCCCCCAGCCACTGCAATCTCATGGACCTTTCTACAGCTTCCACTGGGGATGTGAGTTCCCTCAGGGGATCTCTGAGATCCACTAAAATTTTCCCCCTGACAGCCAACTGAAGGCCACGGGGGAGAGCTATACCCATGGAGTCCCATAGTCAGGTAACCCTGGAAACCTGCAAAAGGTCAGGCTCGCTGCTCTCTAAAGAGCCCGTAGAAGACGTAATAGGGACAACAGATTGTAATGTTAGATTACTCCATTCTGGCCTTTGATCTGCCATAATGTAATTTGGTCCATTTGCCTAATCTCTGTAGCCTCAGATATATACTGGAGAAGCCAGTAAGGCTTCCTCCAAAGCACTGTGGTGAAGTTCAAAATATTACAATTGGTCCTCAAAGGGGCTTCCATTAATATTCTGCTTAGCGTTATGATATACACTCAGTGAATGTTGACTGTAACCACCTGCTCATACATCTACGTTTCATATATACATAACTGACAGATGTCTTTGATATGACCTACTTTTTAAATCCAAATTTGGGGATCCCGTTGCCCTCCCCAGTTTTAGAACTCTGGTTCTAGGACTCTATGACTTGCTTTTATTTAATCTTTTGAGTTGTTATTAGTTGCTTTTAAAACTGAAAGCTATGTGCTCTCTTTCCAGGGAAATTGAAAAATACATAAAAGTTTGCATATATATTAATGAGAGTAACTTCACCCTCGTGGCCACCCTGGGCCATGTTTACCAGCCTGAAATCCCCTGCCTTCTGCTGAAGTGTGTGCTTCCTGGGTTTGGCTCAGAGACTTTGCTTCTTCCTGCTTCTTTTCCTGTTTCTACCCTGCTCTCTCCAATTCATTCTACTGCAAGCACTTTTCAGTCCTATCCTCTTTGTTCTCTCCCAACCCCTCATGAACTAACGTAAGTCATTCGGGAGCAACCCCCAAACCACTAAGAATCAGAATGATCGGGTCTATGGTTTCAGGTATGCATCAGCACGGCTAGGAAAGAACCTTATAACAGTGTACAGGGAAGACCCCGAACGACCTCTCCTTCTAACAGTTACAATCCCACAGACTTCAGTCTACAAACAAGCACATCCAGTCTTTCTGTATCCGTGGCCACTCTCATTCCTCATGATAATTCCAGTACAGTGCCAACTTGCTTCTGTTATTCCGTCACCCTGCCGGGATTCTGTGCTGAAGTTCAGCAGGTCGCAAGAGAGAAGACACCATTCCTAGAAGTGGCCAAAACCATAGACAGAGCCCAGCCTCCTTCATGTTATGCAGATTATATACATATATATATATATATATATTACATGGGTGACCTTGGTCAGATCTGTAAGCCTTGCCTTGGTCACCTGTAATGTGGGTCAAAGAGTGGAAATAAAGGTGAGCACTGAAAGATCTGTAACTTGCCTTGGTCACCTGTAATGTGGGTCAAAGAGTGGAAATAAAGGTGAGCACTGACAGAGAGAGCCTGTTCACCACCTGACATCCATCAGCTGAATGCCTAGTTACTAAGAACTTGCTATGAACTGTCCCTGGGGTTGGGACACGGAATGAACTAAGAGGAAGCAGTAGGGTTTGCCCTCAAGGTGCTCACAGTGGGTTTTGAGGAAACAGATCTTGGCAATTCTGTGTTAGAAGAATACACAGGAGGGTTTAAGAACCCAAGAAGAGACCCTTAGAAAAATGCTTTGCATCTAGTAAGAACCAGCAAAGGTGTCTTCCTTGACAGAGCCTCTGGTAACTAAATTGATGGTCCTTTTTATAGAGAGTGCCCTGAAGGCTAAGCTCTTGCTATTTCTCAGATGATAGCAGGCTTCATCTCCCATCATCCATCAAAAGAGGCGAGAGAGAAGTCCCCAAAGCTCCATTAGGCAGAGGACAGTGCCGTTTAAACCAAAAGTCTCGAGTGCAGCTGTTCGCTCCATTTGTTGGGGGAACTCACGGTCCTCATCTGGTGGCCAGGAGAGCAATAAGGATGGCAGCAGCCAGGAAAATTAATCAGGACCCAGATGATATTAATAAAATGTTATTGGAAGTCAGCGCAGACTGCGGGGAGAAGAGGACACGAAGCGTCTGGGCCACATTCTTTCTGTCTCAGATGATCCAGGCCTAGCCAGTCCCACAAGGACGCTCACCCGTTTTTCAGCTTTGCTGGCAGGGCCTGTTCGCCCACAGCAAACTCGTGTTTCCCAGGTCTTCTCCTTTAGCCACTGCCTTCCCAGCAGCCACACCAGCCCCATTTTTATGAGTGAGCCCCTGCCCTCCATTCCAGGGGTTCCTACTTGTGGTACCTCCGGGACACCTTTCGGCCAGGTAAGGGCTCAGTTTTGAAATCAAAGAACCAGCCTTTTGCTTTCAGTTTCTATCACTAACTTACTGTGGAATCTCTCCTCAGCAGGTCTCCGTATTTTCACCTGTAAAATGGGGAAGTTGGAAGAAGCTTTTCATCTCCATTGTCTTTTCACTCTCCTTCGATTCTAAAAGTCCACGAACCCCATGATTTCCATAAAAGCACTTTCATATCTCATCAGCAGGCAAACATTCGAGGGCGGGACAGTCTCGCTTTGTTCTTTCACGCTCTCAGAGAAGAGTCAAACCCAAGTGAAAGGGTCTCTCCCTTGCCAGCTTACTGGAATGAACTGGCTCTGTCCTCAAGGCCTCCGGCTCCACCCTCCATGGGGTCTACTTCTCCAGCACCCCTTCGTCCTTCACCTGTGTTGCCGAGCTCATTTCTTACATTTATATGAAGCCTTCTTCTCACTAAGGCTGTGCATTCATTGTGAGCAAACCAAGGCAGAGCAAGTTTATCTGAAGGGCTAACTGTGCGCCTGAGTTAAAAAAATGATTCCCTCTGGACTCAGGCTGTAGCCTTCGAATCACATGGCTTCTACTACCTCAAAATATGCCCGGGTCGTTGCCAAGAAGGCTCCCAAACCAACTCAGACCATCAAAAGGTCCTGCATGGTGAGGCAGTGATGCTAACTGAAAAGTCACTAATGGACACAGACTAGAAAGGTGAGTCACGGTAAGGACAGGAAAGATCGTGGCCATGTAGGTTGCCCCCAAAAGAAAGTGACATCACCTGTGACATTGCTGGGTCGGCTTCTCGGGGGAAGAATATCGCCAACAAGGCTTTGAGATTAAATGTTTTAGAAAGAGCAGTGCCAGGATTGTTTTCCCTCCTCTTCTTGTTTTTTATTTGCTCTTTTATTAGTATTCCATACTTCATAGTTACCAAAAAAGATCTTCTACCGCCTCATGAAAATAAACTAGTAATATCAGCACTTTCTCTTCACAGCTGGGTCCCAGGTTGGTAATGTTTTTCTCCCATTAGAACATTACTCCATAAAATGTAAGGTTATTAAGTTGCAGGTGAATAATTCATGAGGCAATTATGAAACAGTTATGATGGCACATTATGAGCTTCCAAAGAAAAGAAAACATTTGGGGTCTCCAACTGACAAACTTTGGGAGCTCTGTCTCGCTGTCTCCTGAGGGGTGTAGCCGTACCCTTCTGCTCTCGGCCGTCCTGGATATCCAGAGGTGGTTGAATCCCTCCAAGAGGTGCCTGAAAGACACCACAATGACTCAGCCAGCCAGAGCCACGATGCACCGCAAGACAGTAAGCCCGTCCTGAGGGGAACAGGAGCCATGAGAACAGCAGACACGCAGAGGCGCACTCCACACCAGGCCCTGGGAAGATGACACGCTGTGGCTGTAACCGCCCAAATCGATTTTACCATTCTCGGCCCCTGTAGTCAGACTGGCAAACCGAGGGCCGGCAAGTTAAGTATTTGCCAAAGATCACATCTCTAGTAAGAGGCACGGCCGAGATGCACACTCGAGCAGGGTAACCCTGGAGTGTGCGCTCTTCGTCAGCATGAGTGAAGAGGAAAGAGGAGGGCAGACAGGGAGAACTGCATCGCAGTAGCCCTGTGGTCGATGGTCTGCTTGCTCCCCAGGGCACTTTCACTGCACCCCTCCCAGGCCTCTGCAGCATCGCTTCCGGGCATTACTGGGCAGGTATCATGAGTCAGCTGAGGACGGGAAAAGCTCAATGATCCTGTCAAGTTCACGTAGCAAGGCAGTAGAGAAGCTGCCACGAAATCTGAGGGTGGAAGCCCGGGGGGGCATCCACGGTGCTATCACGGGACCAGCACAGTTTCCTCGCCGCAGCTCCCACTCAGCAGCTGCGCAGACAGACCCTCCCCGCTCCCCCAGTGCTAAGTGCTCCGTGCCCTGTGCGAAAGAATCCCCTCCACTCCGACAGTTCTGAAGGCTTTTCCTTATCCTGAGCCAGGATTTG